CTGTTCTGCCGCGGGCTGGCTGCGGGGCGGGCAGCTGCCCGTGAGGCATCGAGGGCACTGCAGGCAGACGGGGTATTCTTTCCGTATGGCTCCGCACTGGCTTAGAGTGCCGCTAGCCTGCGCTTCCTTCAGCTTTCCCAGCAGGTCGAGGCAGATCGGGGACACGTCCAGGGACTCCATCAGGGATCTGGCGAGCTCCTCCACATTGGTGACGGAGGGCTGGTTCCTGAGGAGCCCCGAGCTGGTGCCGGCACTGAAATTTCCAGCTCGCCCCGTGCCTCCTGTCTCCCCGGGGAGCTCACTTGCAGAGGCTGCTTCCCCGCTGCTGTTGCTTCCCCACCGTCCTCCTCCATGGGGCTTCCCCCACCTGCGGGGGGAAATCCCGGCTGGGCTGCGGGCGCTGCTGGGGACAGGATAGCCCCAGCACCCTCTCTCCACCTTCCGACCGACCGCGTGGTCCCCCAGCTGCCCGGAGCCAGCCCTGCCGGCTCTGGGATGCTCTGGGGCAGGAGGGCTTGGGGACCCGGGGCAAGCCCAGCCCAGCGGCAGCAGGCGCAGAGCGAGGGGCCGGGCGCCTTCCAGGCCGAGGAGAAAAGGGCCAGCCCAGGCCAGGGGCTGGGGCCCAGCGCTGGCGCCACGGGTGGGCTCTGTGGGAGGGGGTACGCGGGTGTCAGCAGAGGGCATTGCCTCCTTACCCTGCCTTCAGGCTCTGTGTCGACCCCTCCACGCCTTCCCAGGGGACGGCGGCTCCTGGCGGAGGAGGCAGAGGCAGAGTGAGCGAGGGCAGCCGTGGCGGGGGCTCCGGCTGCAATGGCCTCTCTCGGCCGGGAGCCGCTGCGGAGCCCGGGGCAGCTCTGGGACGGGGCTGCTCACCTATCGGGTCCTCCCTCTTGCTCCTCCAGCAGCTCTTCCCCGCGGAGGTCTCCTGCCCCCAGAAAGCCAGCCCCGGGTTAGTGCCGGGGGTCTCCCCCCAGCCAGGAGGGCCCCTGCCCAGGGAACAAGGACCCTGGCAAGGGCCACTGGAGTTACAGGGACAGGAGGGGCCCCGAGCCCGGTGCGCGAGCGGAGGTGGCTCGGTGGCTGCGGAGCAGGGACCTGGCTGGGCGGGCACTGGCCACTGTTCAGTGGTGCCTCCCAAAATGGGGCCCCTCCCCAGCGCCCCGGGGATGGGCTCTGCCCCGGGTCACCCCTGCCCAGGGAGTGTTTGGGGCGATGCCGAGACGGACCCCCACCTTGGCCTCGCCCTTGGGACACCAGGTCATGAAGATGCCCAGCCCCAGGATGGTCACCAAGGCGGGGACGCAGGGCAGCAGGAGCGTGCAGAGGCCCCAAAGGCTCAGGCTTGAGATGAAGAGCAGCGCCGTCAGCTTCCACTCCTCCATCTCGCCCAGGGAGCGCCAGCATCTCCAGAGCTTCTGCGTGACGAGGGGACGTGCAGTGGGGAGGCCGAGAAACCCGGCGAGATCCCCTGAGGGGAGGAGAGGTTGGGGTGACACCGCAGCACCCCGCTCCTACCTTCTTGCTTGCTTTTTTTGCCATCTCTGATGTGCTTTCCACACGCTTGCCCAGCTGCTCTCTTGCCCGCTGGCTCGCGCGCTGTCGAAGTGACGCACGGGCCTCCCCGAAACCTGCTAACATACGGCCACGTTTGTGATGCAACGGTGACGACACGTCGACACACAATGGCTGCCACAGCGACCCAGGGCTGAGCTGGGGCGGGAGGCTGTTGAGCCAACAGGGGGGA